CCATGAGAGGCTGTGTCAAGAATGCGCAGGAAAACACACAGGCATGATCTATATGATGTTAACTTGTACTTTCTAGTACTTTCATGTCTACGCAAGTGTGGCAAGGGTATATATACACATGGAAACTTGCTAAAAGCTGTGGCCGGGCGCGGCCAAAGGCACGCCATGGCAGCAGCGGAGCGTTGTGAGGCATTGAAAGCTTCTTTGCATGAAAACAGGTTGCGCTTGCGGAGTTGTGAGCAAGCTGCACGGCGCAACAAGCTGCGCTTGGAACATGGGGGGTTATCAGTAACAGCTGTCAAAAGGGTGCTGGCAGTGTACATGCTTTCTTCGTGGGATCTGGCGACGGCGGAGGAAGCTGCAAGACATTCGTGGGATCTGGCGACGGCGGAGGAAGCTGCAAGACATTTGTCAACGTTACCCCCAGCAGATGTGAATTTCCCCAGCAAGACTTTGGTTCGGCAACTGTTTTTGGATATTGATTTAGACGATCTTCTTTGCATGCATGACGAAGCCAACATGGCTTGGGCAAGGGCTCTGAAATTTGCTCGCGTCTTCCTTGGGGAACAGGAGGTTTGGCGTTGGGTTCATGCACAGAACCTTGCCAACGGCGTGGCTCCGTGTGCAGCAGAAGTGTTTAGCCGCTTTGAATCCTGCAATGCCTGTAAGATTCCAAGTGGGCGGCCTCATAAACGAACTGTGAACAAATGGGTTGCTCGATGGCGTGCTCGTTGGGCCGTGCGAAGGGGGCGCTTGCGGCCGATTGGCCAAATCAATCCGGAAGACTTGCAGCAGAAGGCCTGCAAACTTTGGATGTCAGGTCCTATTTTTGGGACCGCCTGGGAGTCCCGAATTGTGGTCTTGTTTAAGTGGGGGAAGCAATTTTGGGGCCCAAAAACGGTCTCAATTTTGGGGCCGCATTTGGAAACAATTTTGTCTGTTTTTGGTGAGACTTCATTGCAAGATTTTTCCGACCATGGCAGATCAATGTCTTCTGGAAGAGCATTTCCTACATCACCGAGAAGGTCACTGGCAAGATTCTTTGGATCAACTTTGACGAGACTTCAATAGCATATTCCCCACTACCGGGGGCGGGGTGCATAGTAAACGCGAAGCATTGGAAGAAACATCCAGAAGTGCCACACATGAAGATCAGAAAGGATCGCCGGCGCGGCGCTTACACATACTGCGCTCTGATTTGCAGTGATCCAAGTATACAACCATTTCTTCCTCATTTCTTGATTAGCTCCCAGACTTGGCTACCGAGCTCTTTGCTGAGAGCGTACAACGCTTTGCCTCGTACGCAGCTGCAAATCATTCGTGGCAAGTCATCTTGGGTCACAGCTGATTGCATGCTGGTGATTTTACAAGCCGTGAAAAAGGCGCTCATGCCTTTTCTCGCAGGCATCTCACCAGTCATAATGTGGGACTGCGCGTGCCCACACCTGCCGAAAACTATTTTAGTAGCGGCAAAGCGACATGGATTTCAATTACTATATATACCAGCATCTACAACAAGTTTACTCCAGCCTTTGGACGTCTTCGCCTTTTGGCGCTTCAAGTCGTACTTGCGTCAGAAGTACCGAGAACAGAGGCAGACAGCTGCAGAGGGGCAGCCAGAACCATTGGCTTGGCTTTGGCAAATTTCGCAAGCACACAAAGAGTGCTTTGCATGCCACAACTGGTCGGGGGCCTTCAAGTCTGTCGGGACCTCCCGGGATGTTTCACATTTACACTCAGCCCTGGCTTCTTTTATGGCACACCCTGTTTCTTTTCCTGCGGCGGTGAAACCGACCAAGGAGGAAGTGCAAATGATCTGGCCGAAGCGGCGAAAGATGGGCTACGCTTATGCGAGCCTGCTTTAAAAAGCTGCTGTTCAGCAGATTGTACTTAGTGAAGCAGGGCATGAAAAGCTGAGATGCGAGTTTGCGTGAGCAAGCTGGGGCACTGTTGTGTGTGTGCGTTAATTGCCGCACTGCAAGGGTCCATCATATTGAAGCTTCAAGTGTGACCGTTTTTGGGGCTCTCAAACCAGCCCCATTTATGTTGCAGTCCCAAGACAGCATCAGACTTGTGGACACATGCTTCGACGCAGCCTTTTTCAGACTCACAGATATTGCTGCTTCGCAGTTCAGTCAACATGTCTGACACAGCAAATGATGAAAGCGCAGCTGGCAATGGTGCAGACGGAAGACCTGATGGCGCGGCTGTGCCAGTGCGCGCAGCTGTGCCAGATCAGCTGCCCGGCTTGCGTGCTGAAAGGCAGGTTTTAAAGCAGCAGCTGAAGGCCGCCACAAAGCAGATATGGAATGAGGTCAGGTGTGTGCATGTGTGCAAAAATCAGCCGTAGGTGTGACAAAGGCACCCAGTTTCATTCATATGTTCGAAATTTTGCAATCAATCTTGGATTCCAGCTTGCCACGAATTGGTCCCAGTTTTCGTGGTGGGCGCAGTATTTGGTAAGCCCTTAAATGCATTTCTCGTGGCAGGCGCAGTATTTGGTGAACCTCTGGTCCCACTTCTCGTGGTGGGCGCAGTATTTGGTAAACCCCTAATTCCATTTTTCGTGGCAGGCGCAATAGTTGGTGAACCTCTGGTCCCAGTTTTCGTGGCAGGCGCAGTACTTGGTAAGCCCCTAATTGCTCTTTTCGTGGCAGGCGCAGTATTTGGTGAGCCTCTGGTCCGAGTTTTCGTGGCAGGCGTGGGACAAACGCCGAAATCGTAACGTTGGATTCCAACGTTATGCTTGTTTTTCGTGGCAGGTGTGGGACAAAAGTCGAAATCGTAACGTTGGATGCGGCCAAAAAAAGAATATTATATTCTATTTCAAACCGCGTTCCAACGTTATGATTTCCACTTTTTTGTGAAACTGTCGCCAAAAACGGATCGTAACGTTGGATTCCAACGTTATGATTTTGGTTTTCGTGCGGGGAGTGCTTCGATTTTGGCCGCGCATGCTTTCCTAGCAAATCGTAAATCGCATTGGAACTGGCCATCTCATGCTGATTCCAGGATGCTTCAGATTGTCATTTTTCATGGCAGGCGCAGTATTTGGTGAACCTGTGTTCCCATTTCCTGCAAGAGTTGTAGTACAAAGAAGTGCATTTCTGCAAGCTTTGTAGTACAAAGTAGTACTGGAAAGTACGTTCCTGCAAGCTTTGTAGTACAAAGTAGTACTGGGGAGTACGTTTCCGCAAGCTTTGTAGTACAGAGTAGTACTGGGAAGTACGTTCCTGCAAGCTTTGTAGTACAAAGTAGTACTGGGAAGTACGTTTCTGCAAGCTTTGAAATAGTTCTGGCCAGTGGAATATTTCACGCCCAACCACAAGGGTGCCATCGACAGACGCACAGTCTGGGTGGAGTGTTCGAAGAAGGTGTTCAAGTCCGAGGACCGGCTGGCCCATGCAAAACGGAACGTTACAAACGGCCATCCAAAGGAGGCCAACAGCATAATCATGTTCCTATTTTGTTTTGAATGCGATGTTATCAAACGTGGTTGAATTCATAAGAGATGTCTGCACTAGTGCTTTGGGACCTTCTGCCTCCTTTGGATGGGCGTTTCCAATGTTATGTTTTCAGTGGGTGTGAGTGGCGCCAGGATTGTTCTTCGAGCTTTTCTGGTGAAAATCTTCCTGCTTCAGCCGAATCTGGCACAGCTGCTGCGAGCAAGAACACTCCTGATGGAATTCTTCCTGCTTCTGTCGCAACTGGCGCAGCTGCATTGCAGGAACCTCTCATGCCATGGCCTTGTGATGAGGAGATTGAGGCAATGATGGACGATGCCTTTGAATTTTCGTGCGACTTTCGCGGGCCCAAAAAAGAGAGCTTCATGTGTTGTGCAGAGAAGCACCCATTACCTTGAAGATGCATCCCTTTTCGGTTTTTTGTGATTGGCCCAGCAGGAGTTGTAACCCCATGTTGACTAAGCGCATTGTCCGGGCAATCCAATATATGCTCCATCTTTGCTCGCCGCAGGATGCTGCTGAAGGCGTGATGGCATTGCTGGTCAGTCAATTTGCGCGGGCCAAAAAATGAGACCGCTTTCTGTGCTGCTTTGAGGCTTCCGAAGTATGGCCCCCAGGTGTATATATATATATATTTATGGCATTATAATGGTGATTTTAATGGGATATGAATGGTGAGATAATGGTTTGTGACAAACCAACAGCCCCCGGAAACCATGTGGATTCATATCCAACTTGAGGATAAACGAACCAACCACGAAGAAGCAGTGGGGATAAACGAGCCCCTGTACATTTCGGTGACCCCAACAATAAGGCTTTACTAAGGATTCATTGAAACCCACTAACATCCATGTTTATAAGGGCTTCTTAACCAACTATCATTGAGGAGGTCAGTTGAAATATGTTGAAATCAGCTGAATCTTCATGACACCAACTATGGGCAAATGATGGCCACCCCTGGGCTGTGTTTTTTTTGAGTATTTCCTCCGTTGTGTTTGAAGTGTTGGGGGAATGGTGTGGCAGGATTTGATGGCGTTTTGCTAGTACATGAGACCCGCAAAAGATGTAAGAACATAGGAAGAACATTGACTTTTCAAGGTCAAATCACCTATAATACACATTATAGTGGCTACATTAAATACTACAGTAGATGCTGGATTGTTAGATTCTCTGTACAGTTCTATGGGGGATTTTGGTGATGGCGAAGATGAATATATGATGAGTTTTCTTGATCCGTGCTCAAGAGAAGATACTCCCTTATTTTTATTTAATGACATCATGTTGGACTGCAAGGCCTTGCTATATTTGGAAATCTAGAACAACCTCTCATCAAACCACAAATTTCCTTGCAATTCCATTTGTTTCTTTAATGCATAGCAACCCAGCAAAGAAATAGACAGTCAAATCCTACTAAAACACTGGTAGATTACTTGTCCATTTTTTTGGTTACTACACACTGTACTGTAACTTTGGAGTTTCCATTCCTTTGCTCCGCGCAGAAAAGGGCGCGGAACACAAAAAAACGCTCTGCCGCAGGAGCAGAAGGAGAGAATCAAAGCTGCCACCGAGAAGGGCATCGAAAAGCAGCAGGCGCGCTTTGGGAAAGATGGGCCGTCGACGCTGGGATGAAGTGAAACCAGTGAAACCAGTGAAACCAGTGAAACCTTGAACAGAAAGAGCTGTTTATGGACGGGTGACCAGCAGCTAAAGGTCTGTTGTCTGTTCATTTTTGGTTGCTTTGTTGCGGGGACAAACAAAAAGTCGACATGGCAACATGGCAACATGTTGCTATGGGGCTGGAGGCGATGCCAAGAAAACAGGGCTAGGAATTAACCTTCTGGTCGACCTCGGGCTGGAAGATGCAGGGCATGGGAAATTGCGGGTGCTTGTCTCCCCGAGACCGGGATTGCGACCCGTGAGGTGTATTCGCCCTTAGTTGCCTTGCGTTCTGCTCCACTCCTGTCAGTCGCTGAGAAGCAAGCGCAGATCCTCGACACAGACTGGGTAAACCATTCCCATATTTTCAGATATTTTCAGGATGGGTTGGAGCCCCAAAACATCCCAAAACCATTGGATTGAGGGATTGGTGATAGAATTTTTCGTTGCTGTTGCCCAAGATCCCAAGGAAGTTGGAGGAGCGGAAACAGGAGATGAGTCAGAAGATCCGTTCCTATGCCGTGCTGCGGAACCGGATCTTGGAGAAGATGCGCACGCGAGATCCACTCTTCAAGGCCGAGAAAGCTGGGGCTTCAACGGCATGTTGTGGTGGAATTCCAAGGAAGGGGTGCCAGGTACATACTATGCCCCTACAGATCTAGACATATCAAATGTAAAGAGATGTACCAGCAGAGTGGATTATGACAATCCCGAGCATATTGGACGATATAACTAAATAGAACTATATAAATACGTATGCACACGTATTTATGCTGTATATATATATATATATGTAGACGTCTGGTCATATATCTACCTATTTCTACAATTGTTTGTGTAAATATATCAACAAATAAAACAACAAATAAATCAATGAATACATGATCAAATGAATGAATTAATATATCCTGAGGTATATGATGTATCATACCCTTGTAAACTTGTAAGCTACATATCTTGCCGGTCCAACTTCCCATCCCATCCCAAGCCGTCAGGTGGAAGATGTGAGCACCGCCAAAGCGCTCCTCGCGGAAGGCCGCCGGAAGAGGCAGGAGGAACTGCAGAACGAGGAGAAGAAACGCCGCTGGGCCGGTGGAGATGGGGGTTTCCATAGCCATGGGGGTACCCCAATAGCTGGGTGGATTGTTTTTTTGAGAGAAAATCCCTATCTATAAATGGATGATAAAGGGGGGGTACCGCCCATGACATTGGAAACCCCCATACCAACAAACATGGCCATTTAAAAGGGATAGGAAGCCTGATGATAAAGCACTGACATTTCAAAGATACCCATTTTCAGGAAAGCCTAGGATATTAAAAACATTTAAACACGTTTCCTTTTGATGTTTCATTGTTGATGTTTGGATGGTTGTTTGATGATTCGCCGTTCCATTTGGTAGGCGATATCAGTGATATTGATATTCCAATGTCACTGAGGATGGGAGCACTTGGAGGACTGTGCAGCCAAAGGCCAGGGCGCCGTTCTTGAAAAAGAACAGCTGGTTTGAGTGGGTGGGATTGCCCCATTAAAAATTGGGACTACATAATGACAACTAACTATAACCAAGAAGATGTTTTGGGTTCCTGGGTTTGTGCGAAATCGGAGATACCCGCAATTCCAGCCATTAAATGGGGACAGTGATGATGAAGCATCAACTTTTGGAATAACTGGATGGGAGAACTACATGGGAAATTGGTGTACTTTTCACGGCAAGACTGGGATCTTTGTATGATATATTCAGAATAGCAACAATATATACATATTACACATACAATCTAATATATCAGATATGTCACATTAGATATATTACTACACAATTAAAAGCAATAATCAAAAAAACCATACATGTCATGTCTAATTTTAAAACCCATATTCCATAGATTGTTATATAATATATGTATATACATACACACTCTATCAGAGATATTCCCTGAGAGGTGTTCAGAAGCGCGCGGCTTTGTTCGATCTGCACAACAGCCCCTCCTTTGACGAACGCTTGGCCAAGCGGGTCGAGATCAAGACAGCGGAGCTGAAGGACCTCGAACGCCCGTCTTCGGCGGACCGGGCTATAGAGATGGAGATTTCATAGGAGATTTCCATGGGAATAAACAATGCATATTTCATCGATTTTTATGGGATTTCATAGGATTTTTTTTTAGGGACTTCAGAGTTCATGGGTTGTAATGGAGATTTCACCATTTCAGACTAGAGATATAATGGGACTGAATGGCGATTTCATGGGATTTCCTGCGATTTAATAGCTACAAAATAGGATGCAATGGGAATACACATCATAACGACTACTAATAGTCATGTGTCGTCTGTCTGAATGTTGACTTAGTCTATTATTGTGGAGTCTATATGGATATATATATATATATATGTTCATGATACAATGATGGATTTCAAAGCAGAAAAGTGTGGAGTTGAATAGTTGAATGACAAAATGGTTGACTTTGATGATACAATGGTGGAATTCAATGGCTCTTAGGCCGGCAGCTGCATTTTTTTTCCAATCTTCAAATGCCCAATGATTCAATGGGTGGCTGGTTTCGGTGGAAGTTTAGTGGTTGATCCGCCAGGAGTTAGAAAAAGCTCAAAAGGAACGAATCAGAGATGCCATCGAAGTTGGCCATAGCAAGTCTCAGCAGGCCCGGTTCCGCCCGGTTCCGCGAAGTGGTGCACAAAGGGAGGTGGGGGTGGAATCTACAGGCATACAGCGGCATACAGGATTGGCAAAGACAGCAGAGGTCGACATCCCAAAGTGGTTGAACATCAAATTGCCAAATACTCCCATTCCCCTGATGAGGAGGATCCTCCATTTTTTAGTCAACTGTAGATGCCTCCCCTACAATTTGCTGGGTCAATGGAATTAGACGGGCACCCCCATTGAAACACCAATAGCTTCGACGGTTAGCACAGCACCACTAAGACGATCACGAGGCTTCGCCGCTGCTGGGATGCTTGAGAAATCCTCCAGACAATGCGGAAAGACAGAAGGAGATTTTAGAGGACACTGCTGGGTCATCTGCCGGATTTTTCCCAGGTATTTTCCAGGGGGAAGAGGGAGAAATCCTGCACCACCATTGGGTTGTGATAGGTGGATTCGATATTTTTTAAAATCAGGGTTTCAGACCACCCAATCTCTTCCATCGAAGTGTGGCTCCATAGTGTGACCAGGTGATAAGTGATTTGGGTCTCCCTTGAAGTCGCTCAAAAGAAGATTGAATTGAAAGGACCCCATCTAAACAACCAACAGAGCTCCTTAAATTCCCGTATAGAAAATCCTTTTTCTCATCAAGATGGCCGTCCAAATTGCATTGAAATGCCCCAAATCTTGAGTTCATTGTTTATTCGTATTTTTATTGGTGAAGAACATGTTAAATCCTGTGGATTTGATGGTTAAATCATCTTAAATTCACAATTTGGTTGAATAATCCCGAAGCTGGGGAGATGATTCACGGCAACAAAAACCATATTTTCTCAGATTCTCAGAAGACACGCTGGACCGCCCGCGTAGGAACGTCAAAGACACATGGCGCTGGTGGCTAAGGTGGGTGTCGATAATGAGGGGGGCCCCCTGTGGTGATGCTAGTCCTGTTCGATCCTGTTCATAGGGGGAAGTGGGTCCAAAGGATTGGGTTTACCCTCTGGTAATTTAACATAACTATTGAAAATGACCATAGAAATAGTGGATTTTCCCATTAAAAATGGTGGATCTTTCCATAGTTATGTTAGTTTACCAGAGGGTATGATGGAATTGATCTGGTTGTTCATTTGATCACGACCTCACATGATTTTTTGGGTCACTGGAATGATGGTTTAGATATGGGGAATCATCCCCAGCCATGGCTGTATTTCAGCCAGATTTTCCGTGTAATCAATACGTATTCAGCTTCGGCTTCCTTAAATATACTTGGATATCTTAACATATCCTTAAATGATAAATGATTGTTCATCGCTCTATCATGTTTCAACTTATATATTCTGCAACCTGATCCGGGAATACTGATGGCTCCTTGTACCCAGATCATGTGTAGGGAACTGCAAATAACATTGCTACTATGTTCATTGCTCGTACTGGTTTCATGGTTTCATCTGATTCTCCTGATCCTCGGCGTAGGAATACATCAAGAAGCGAGATGAGATGTTATACCGGCAGCAAACCCGAACGCCTCTCTTCAGCTTCCTGGTGTTGAAGTTTTTTCGCAGCCATGGGGGATGGGGTTGGTGGTCATGTTTGTATGTTTCTAATGTTGGTAAAGCCAATGCCATTTTGACCCCAAATTGACAGTTTTATGGGTGGGATTACAACCATCAATGGGATTCCAACCATCAATATATATATATATGGATCGATGAATTGATGCAAAGAACTACCATAGTCATCCATAGTCAATATAGTTACTGTATGTTACTGGAACTGATGTTAACTGTCATAAGTTGGGATACAACTTGATTCAAAAGCCCAAAAAACTCTGGTGAGTCCTCCATTTCGCTATGAATTTTGCTATCCATTGCTGTGACCAGACCAGAGCGCTGTAGTGAGGTTGCGATGAAGTCGAGGACGCACAGCTCCAACTTGAGGCGAGGGATGGGATTCCAGCAATCTGGGGCATGATGGGATACTCATGGTTTTTGTGAATGGTGATATTAAACATGGTTATAATATAAACAGAATGGGAAGATCACGGGAATTTTTGTTAATGGGATATCTCCTCCGGTTTCATGAAACGTGGCTGGGAAATCTTTGGACTAAATGGTCAAATAAACATGGGAAAATGGAAGGGGTTTCCATTGCAATGTTTACCAGAGAGCTTGTTTTTTCCATGTATTAAAGTATAATAAAGGTTCGGAATATTATCCTCTCATAATCCAAACAGGCAATCGAAAACCACCCATTTCTATCGATTTTTTATAGAGGATTTAGGCATCCAACATGGTGATTTGCTACAACGATTGCAGGGTAAGATTGCAGGAAACCAACGGAAACTTCCCAACAGCAGCCCTCGCAGAACAGGAAAACTATCTACCAACAGCAGATAACACCAGAGGGGCCCAGGTATGTTTACCCATGTTTACCCGAAGAGACCGCTATATTCATATACCGTGAGAGAATCCAACAGACAGGGAAGATAATTTTCTGTTTGTCATTTAACCCAACAGAAACTGGAAAATCAGAACCAGCAACAGTTGCTTTCCTGTATTGTTCTCAAAAGGCATGTCAGTGTCATAGGATGGCGCACCCAAAAAAAGTGCCAATTCAAAAAAACTGATGGTCTACATCTTTGTAATCGTTTGTATATGTATAATACACGTGCACACATATGGTACTACCAGGGTTCCATGATTTTCCATGATACTGTTTCTAGTCTGGAACATTTGTGACAAGCATTCCCAATCAGAACCTGGGAAAACTTGCCTGCCAGCATTGCCAGGAGGCAGCGCGGAAGAGGAAAAAAGAGATGAAGGACGAAATGCTCAAGCAGAGTCTTGTCCGTGATGGGATTGTCTTGAAATGGGTGTTAAATAAGATATTTTTCAACCTATTTATGGCAACTCGCAATGTTCAAAAATGATACACATGATCATGTCCCTCCAAAAAATGAGAAGATGGTCATCTACTCATTTCTTTTGTTGCGATGTGCGTGATCCGTCGGCACGGGATGGGTACGGAATACACAACTTCTGGATGTGGCAGACGACCCTATCATTGGAAATGCGCAGATTTTCAAACTTCCTGATTCCTGTTCTGTGGACAAAATCTTGCAGGAACACAAACTAGATGTGGAATAGGTATCCCTAAGACATCCCAGGTTAGGATTTGGTCTCCGTGACACGTTTGAGACTTGGATTGGTCTCCGTGTGCTGTAACTTGATCCGTTGATTCTTTCGTGTCCCGGGAACTTGATCAATGCCTTAAAAGTGGGCGTTCTGAACCGAGGAAACAACACATCAACGAACTCCAGCATAAAGCCTTGGCTCGGCCGCTGATGATGGAAGCCAAATATGGCATCATGGCCTAACGCCCCTGATCTGCTCGCAAAATGCGATGACAGACAGCAGTGGCACACCTGGGGGCTTGTGGCATGTTGGGCCTGGTTTTCTGTGAAACTCAAGATCATCCAGAAAACTTTTTCATGCAAGGCCCAAGCCTCCCAGGGCAAAAAGCGGGCTGCAGTGTTTTTCTGCAACTCGTCCCCCAAAAGAGCACTCAGGCTGACTCTGTGAGGACTGCTGGTGTAGCCCAAGATTTGTTGGAGAATTAGCCCTTTAACTTGACCCTTTTCTTCTTCAAGACGGTTGTTCGCAGTTGGAGTGCTGGAAAAATGTAATCTGTCTAGGTCCGAACACGCCAAGCGTTGACCTTGCAACAGAAAAGAACCGAAACCGTGAGATGACCGCGTTTTGGGAAGGGCAATGTAGTGATCCTGAAGAGAGAATCACCTGGCATCCCTACCCTTCAACTAACATCAACTCAGCATAACTCAGCCAAATTGGGCGATGCCGCGATGCCCCTTTGATGAATTCAGTGGAGGCAGTAATGTGGGAAGCCCTGGCTGCCATAAAGCTACAGAACCATGACTTGGGGATGGTTTACGGCAGGTTTACCACATCTCAATCCTGGGATCACCTCCAATGGCACGGATTTGTCGTTCACAGTCGTGGCATGTCGTGGCCATTTTCGTTGCGTCGATCCATGACATCATAATCCCTTCCCCTCAATATTCAGCACCTAATCGATTTTAGTATGGATAAAACATGATAAAACCACATCTTTGGCACCATTCAGAATTTCTGCAAGTGATTTTTTTCTGAACGAACTTCTGGGATCCTTCCAATATCTTGGAACGATTCCATCCCAGGGATTTCCCGCATTGGGGCCCCAGGTTTCAAGTGGGCGCACATCTGTGCAACTCCTCAGATCTCGAGCCACGTTCGATGTTTCAAGATGTTTCAAGTCTCTGAAATGGAAAAAACACATGGCTATGAATCAATACCTATACATACAATTTTTAGGGGGATGAACATCCATTTACCAGCTATTTTGATGTTCACCAGGGGTACCAGGGTTTTGACCCATCCCCACATGGGAACTTGGGAACTGATTTTCTCCGGAAGATTCTCCAGTTTCGATGTCCTGTTTTGTGAAACATCGGTCTGTCGAAGCCCTCCAGGGATCCAATGGTTGTGATGTTGCCGTCAGTGCTTCCCTACCCCCACCGCTAAACTTTGATGGTTTTTTTCCCCAAAAAATACCAGGCTTTGGGCAAGTCTGCCACGGGCCAAGCCAAGGACAAGCAGGTTCCAAGTGTGTTTGAGAAACAACTGTTCGGGCGGGTTTTAAGCTGGGATAGACAAGGGCAATTGAAGGCGTTTTTGTTTAACATGGGTTTGTTGGAACACATGTTTTCCTTATTCTGTTGCGGCTTACCTTCCCAAAGTTTTGGCAACTTGGCTGTTGCTTGTCCCCAAAATTGATGATTGAAGTTTGAAGAACTCAAGGACACGTTCTCAGACCCTGATGTGGAGAACATCTGAATACTCAAGTTGAACAGTGGAAGAAAGAACACTGCTTCATTGGCAATGACATGTTGTTCCGGGAATTATGATAGCAATCTTTCAGGATCTTTCAGGACATATCACCAGCCAATTTCTTGGGATTGATAGCACATTATCGGCTGTGACGGTTGCGTTCTCCAAGTGCATTGGTAACAAACTCTTGAGTCTCAAATCTCTACCCCTGGGTAATCAAACATGGCTTGCGATCGAACATCCCCTATAAAAATAGATCATTTTCCAAGTAACACCTCCATTTTGATCGGATATTTTCCGGCACGGATCAAATTGAATAAGATTCAACAAACGGATTGGATGGTTGGATGCGAAAAATGGACAAACTTGCATCAATGGTGGGCAGTTTCAACTATTTGTCAGTTTGATTTAAATATCAGAATATCATTCATCCTTGGATGTTTCATTTTCTGCAAATCATGACTCATGGTTCACTATCGTTAGATTATACATATATATATATATATGAGTCATATATTATCTATATATATGTCTTATGTTGTTATTACTGGATCATACTTATGATTATTATTGTTATTATTATTGGTATTAATTGTTGTTTGTGATTCTGATCATTGTCATTATCATGGCTATTGTCAGATGAACCACAGCTGGAGAGATTTTTTAGAGGGGGAGGCTGCAAGCAATGCATCCTCGCTTTTCGCTGGGACTTGATGTGTAGCAAGGTGGGGAGCCAGCAAAGCGATAGATTTAAAATGATTTAAATATACGAGTACTGTATATCATATATATATAATATATATATATATGAATAAATATATGAGATGCGGTCAAAATAAGCGTAGACTACTTCAGTAAGGGAGGGTCCAGTTGTGTTGAGAAAGTGCACCAAACCATGTAAAGCGATAGGCCCCCCCAAAAAACGATAACTTGTAACCACATGAGAGTGCATCAAACTTAGTGTAAACTAAGCAAATATTGTTATATGCCTTCACGCGATGTGCAAAATTGATGAAGACAATTCAACCTGCAATGCCCACGTTTCTTGCAGTTGCCATACCATTTGTTGTCCAAGGTGATTGAACCGTTGCTTTCTGCAGGCAGTTGTTTTTTTCTCCCAGGTCCCAAAGCAGTAGAACTAAACTCAACTACTGTAAATGCAATCAAATTCAGATTTAAATTAAAACATAGTTTTAAATCTAATTCTAAATTCCGTTCACGTGCTTTACTTTAATTTGATTTTCGTATTCCTTTGTTTCCTCTTCTTTGTCTTTCCTTCCATTTTCCTTTTATTTCCTTTTGAATTCTGAAGTAAATCAAAATGAATTTTGAATCCAAATCTGCATTTCATTTATTTTGTTTTATTTCCCTTTTGTTTTATTTGTCCTTTCTTCTTCCTTCGTTTCCTTTTCTCGTTATTTCCTTCCTTTTTCCTTTATTTTCAATTTTCCTTTTTGTTCCACGTTCCTTATTCTTTTCCTTTCTTGATCATCAAGGTGTTCTAATTTAGCGATAATCTAGCGATAACCCTTTGTTGAAAAAGGAACCCCGGACGAGGCATAGACTCACTTGATCCCAACAAGAAGAACTCAACAAAAAAACGAATAGGTTCGCAACCCTAGGCCATCAGGTTGTTTTGAGACTTGGGGAACCTTAAACACTTCTTCATAGCTACGAACGCTTCTTTATTGGAACTATGGGGTCCCATCTTCAATTTCTAGAGCTTTTGAGCGGGGAAGTGTGGCGTTTTCTGACGCCATGGCTTATCAAAGAGGGACAATTGCGAGGTGACCCTTTTTCGTTTCATAGCATTAGTGATCTTATAACCGTTGGGAACCATTGATCTTAATTAAGTTCAGAGTTGAGCTTGTAATAAATGTCCTTCCTTAGGAAAGAGTCTAGGAATGTGCTTAGATAGCTCCCCAACATGGTTGCAAACGCAAAGACAACGAGCGCCCCTTCATCCATTCCCAGCAGTTTAGAGATCTGAATCCGTGAAACCAATTCCGCTGCATTTTTGCATTATTTAGTGTTGATTTGAACAAAGCACTGTGAAGCGATAGGCACCCCCTAAAGAGCGATAACCTTAATATTTTTGTACCAAACATCAACAGTTGATTTTGACGGCGGCTCATATGTATATATATATATATGTATTTGGTTTTCTCAGATTGGAAACTGCAAAATCCCGTGGTCGATCATTTTCCGGATTAAGATTGCCATTTCGGTGTATATCCCATTTTGTATAGGTATGAGATGATAGCTCAGTTGGCCACTGTGGATGTACCCAGCCATATCACGGACGTCAGGAGTCGGTGGTCTGAAAGCAGGCAAACTTTCAGGGTGCTGTGGCGGTAGTGCAATTGAGCCGGGGTAGGCAAGACACAGTGAGACAAACTGAGGGATGCTGTTCCGATGGTTTTGTGAAGTTTTGTGATCATTTTGCAAGAAACGAATTCATGGAAGATGCTGCAAGAGTTAAATTAACTCTAGGTCCGATGTGAAACAATCAGGTTGGATTGACTGTGCCTGCAATCATGTGGAATAATATAGGCAAGTATCCATATACACACATACAATGTATATATATATATAGATATAGAGGGGAGATATGTACAGAATATTATACAACATATGAATATATGTATCATGATTCATGATATTTATATATACAATGCAAATAGATTTGTAGAATGTATATTATATACAAATATCAGGTGGATGCTCGACCATGTGCCACCAGTTGCACGGCTCAAATTTTCAAAATTTTCCAATTTTTCTTGCGCTCCCACAGCGTGTCGTGCACATAGTAGTGGACGACGTGCAACCCGCGCTGCCCGAAGATGTCGGGTATTCCTCCAATCTACCTGCGCATTGCCAGCACCGTTTGCTCCCTGGGGGTGCTGGCTGGCAACTACCAATGGCTATTGATGCTGCCACATCAAGCTTTGATTCCGATGCTCCTAAGCACCTCTGACTTCAGGTTGCAATGACTTGATCGACAGAGGACTTGTTCATTGCTGTCCAAGGTTTTAGGTGGGTCAAAGTCAGATTATTACTTGTCTGAAACAGCAGATTTGTAGAATTTACTGAACTACTGTATCCAATTGTTTGCTTTCCCTTGTTGTGAATGCTCGCATTTGTTGATTGCGTACCATTGTTGTTGGACTTTACTAGGAACTGATTTAGAAAAGTGTTGATACCAATCTACTAGCAACCATGGATTGTGGGAACTTTGTTTCTTGGCCTATTCTGGTTGGAGGTGTCATATATTCATGAACATTGAGTACATACTGAGTATGCTGCTTTCTACCTGAGACCAATTGGGGCGATGATGTAAATAAATTAATTCATATGGGTATGGATCAATACCTATTAATACCATTTTTAATGGGATGAACATCCATTTACCAGCTATTTTGATGTTCACCAGGGGTACAAGGTTTTGACACATCCCCATATGTTTGGAGAGTGAATCCACCACCAATGGACCAACATTTGTATTCCTTCCAAACGTTCGCACAGCCTCCGCGCGGTTCTAGCTTCAAAGCGACAGATATCCCACCACCAAACATGGGAAATATGATATGGACATATTTGGTTGGTGATTTAGATATTTTACCCTAGTGTTGTTCAATGTTTGATTGATTGAGATGAGTTTTGCTTTTTGGGATGGGTTAAAACCACCAACCAGATATGTTTTAATAGAAAACACCCAACTAATTCAAATGTGTCAGAATGAATATTGATTTAGAACTGTTCCCAACAAAATTTGCAGATCTGGTATGACTTACGTTTAGAAAAGATCATGGTAGGAGAAGAAGGAAATACTGTATATAAGACCCAGAACCATGTCTTGTCAGCATGGTGTTTTTCTTTTTTTTTTAAACATAATCGTCAACAAAATCCAACTCCAGTGTGTGAGTTGAGAAACTATACCTATACCGTTTTGAAAGTTCACAATTCGACATGCCCATACCCCCAATAGCTTTAGACACCTTATGCACTCACACTCCAGCGTGTTGTCAAGATCACAAAGAGCCATTCTGAGCCACCATGTTTAACCGCAGCAGGAACAGGTTCTTTGGTTAGTCCGATCAGTTCTGTGTGTAAAAATATGTTTTAACCGCTTTCTGCAGGAAGCCTCCACATGTACGACACCTTATTATTAAGATATGGCTATGTTTCAGACCCCTGGCGAATGTAGCTAGTATAAATGGAACATAAATTTCCCCCAAATGTACCCTCTGGTTATGTCAAAATAGCTATTGAAAATGGCCATTTATAGTGGATTTACCCATTGAAAATGGTGATTTTCCATAGCTATGTTAGTTTACCAGAGGGTATCCAAATTTATGGCAAATGCGTGGTTTTCAGCAAAGCCCATATCAACCCATATCCTTCTTGGGTGTTGCAGTTGCACGAATTTTTATGGGTACACTCCCAACTTCTGAATGTTACAGTCTCATATGTTCACTTAAAGATCACCCAGGCCAGATGTTGAATGATTGAATCCCATCCCCATAATATTGAAACACCTCCCATCACGTGAACATTCCATCTTCAACCATGGTGTTTATGGTGGTTTCTTTACGGTTCCCTTCCATTTTCTTCCCCAAATTTCTCGAAAAGTCCTGAATTTTTTTCCGAGGTTTTCATCCTCGAAAATCTTCGGATGGGTCAAAACCCTGGTACCGTGCCGTGAACCCCAAAAAATAGCTGGGATTTATGGATGTTCATCCCACTAAAAATGGTATCTATAGGTATTGACCCATACCCATCCATGGCCATAGGGCCTATATATGGCCTATGGCCTCCAAGGCATTGGGACCCTGATCGCCTTGAGCTTCATCCAGGACCCTGAGGTGATCCATGAGCCCCAGCGCTGTCCCGCCACAGAGACCTGGAGACAGATTGGGAACTATGATGGTTTATGAATGTTTCATGATGGTTTTTGATACTTGTAACATCTTATAACATCTTATGACATCTTATCACTTATCACTATATAGTTGATGGATGTTGCCGGGGTTTCTAAAAACCAACTTATGACTGGTAGAATTCGTTGACGCCTTTATCTTTGACGTTTTTTGGAGATGTAAGAGGAAGACGGACCAACATCCGTTGCATTTTTTGGGAATCGCAGAAAGATCGGGTGGATGCACTGTGGATTGGAGCTCGCAATGACCAAAATATACCAAACCTAAAGAGTGGTTGCTCCGGTGTTCTCATCCATGTATGGTATCGTGAAGAAACGATATTGTGATTGGTGGAAATGACACACCAAAATCGGAACACTTCCAACATCTAATTGCAGGGCCAGGTGATGAAGGGGTTGCCAGGGCGTAAAAAGAAACCTTGCCATCACCCAGCCGCCTCCCAAATTGAATGTATGATTCGCTACAGATGTTTTTCAAGCCGCGAGCACAGGTTCGCCAGGAGTTTGTTCTAGGTTCTATCCATAAAGTTTCCACTAGTTGTTTCTACATGTTTCAGAAAGGTTCGATTAATTGTCAAAGTGTGAAGTTTCTATAAACTAGACATAGAGTTTCTATAGAATTTTCTATAAACAAGACATACAGTTTCTATAGATTTTTCTAACGTTTTTTAGAAGTTTGTCTATACGTTTCTATGTCTAGTTTTGTTGCGTATCCGCAGTGAAAATCCCACCATTTCGGATGCAGAGCAATTCGGACCGTGTTGCAAAAGGTGAGCACACTTGATGTGTGTTGAAAATGGGGCGGGTATAATACACAAGAAACAGCATGTTTTTTAATGGAAAAGTGATGATTAAACATAAGTACAAAAGGTGTGTATATAAATTGTAAATACAGTATGTATATTGATTATAATCAGTGAATGGAATGGGGCTACCCAATTTTCGGACAAACCCTAATATGGATCAATTTGAAGAGCTTTGGTTCACCAAACATGGCACGATTGCATTGGCGTTGGTGGTTTGTTTCAGCTTCTGCAGTTTCCTTCGGTGCCTCCACTTCAAAAAAATTGGCGGAATGACTTCGGGTATTACGTACCTTTGTGAAAGCAAGCAAAACTCGTTTCGTTGCGATAGAGCCAGTGGTTCCCTTTTTTGTCCATTGAGAACGCGAGGATTGGAAAAATCCACCTCCGGCCGTGGGTGTGCGCGACGCGTTTCCCAAATTTGACCGGAAAGAGCCCGTCAACTCCTTCGTGCAGATTTGCGAAAGCCTCATCGAGGACTGGCGGTCGAAACAAATCCGTCGTTAAACAACTTGCATATGTGGCATTTGAATATTATATAATATATCATATATATTTATAGAATACCCGAAATGTGGCCCTGGGTTGCCAGCGACCTTTTTTCACTCCATGAACAGCTCCAAAAAACCAGATTCCACATCAAGACTGGGCATCGAAGGAGTAAAACTCCGCATTCTTGATAGGTGTATGGTCACGTTCATCGCATAAAAATCACATCCGCACATTCATCGCTGTTCCATCCCGCCAGGAATGCACGCGCGACTTGCCCAAGACTCATGAGATTCCAGAGATGGAGCAGAAGTGGAGTCCCGGCTCGGTCAGCGAAGTGGAGAGGGTAGATAAAGAGACCTTGGGATTCAACATGATTTAACCAAGATGGAGACAATACTGAGAATACATGAGATATTATGAGATATTATGAGAGATTATGAGATATTATGAGATATTATGAGATATTATGAGATATTATGAGATATTATGAGATATTATGAGATATTATGAGATATTATGAGATATTATGAGATATTATGAGATATTATGAGAATACATGAGATATTATGAGATATTATGAGATATTATGAGATATCATGAGATATTATGAGATATTATGAGATATTATGAGATATTATGAGACAATGATATGCATAAACAATATCTTGTATATGTATGCATCGTGTTTGGCAGGCACTGGGTGTGCATTATCATTAGGGTGAGTATGTAAGCTGATGAATCCATTTTGGCTCAAGTCTGAGCCAAACTGGCTTCATCGTTCTTTCTTTTCCCTCCCTTCCCTCCCTATGAGGTAGGACTCCGGTGGAGTATCCTCCCTTGTAGGGGATCACATCATTGAGGATGTTGATCTCTACGTGGAGTTCCACGACTGTAGCACTGGGCGGGAGAGATTCAACCTGTGCAGCCTCCTGAGTTTACAGGAGTGCGGAACAGGGTGTACGGATCCAACCAGTGCTGCTGTGCAGGAGACTACCTGCACAGCGTTCCAAAGCACTATCCTGCGAGGAGCAGGTTGAGACCGCACGAAGAGTTTGGGAAGAAAAGGCCATGCGGATGTGAGCCTGGATAGGGTGAACCGTTTTGAGTATCTATGCTTTACATCTCACAACTAATGATTTTATATCAAGCGAAGGGATCGATGTTGATCGATGTTCAATGATTTGCAGTGGTTTAGCAGGGTCACTGCATCAGGATTGTGGACATGCTGGAGTACAACGTCAAGGGCGGTAAGATGAATCGTGGCCTGATGGTGACCTGGAATTTCCTAGCGGCTGACAGTGGATTTGTGTTTGTAGCCCATGTTGCTACCCTTTAGCAACCTAACGTGGCTATGGAAAACCGCCATTTTGAGTACGTAAATCTTAACACACAGCCCTTTTCGCTGCATTAGATTCTCGGAGGGCTATGAGTCCAAACCAGTCCAAAGGAAATCAATGATGGTGTGTGGTAGACATTTTTGGCTTGGATGCTCTAGTGACTCCAGTAAGACTTGATTCTTGGCTTGCTATGTGCTTATCAATCGTCATTCCCTGATTCAAGGATATTCAAGGCTTCTTAGGGTCCTATTGTTGGAGTTAATTACCTCTGAGGTATCCTCAAACTTCATGCCACAAGGCATGCTATGACCACAAGGAATCCTATTGGTGGAACACATGGGCCCATATCCACTGGCTGAACATGACATCTTGACACGGTCAAAAGCTTGCGCCAACCAGGTGATTGAGAGCGGTGCAGTGATCATGAAAGCTCAAGGCCGTGAACCCACAGATGCTCGATGGATCCAAGGGTAGATTGTTTCACGTCAAAAATGTGGGAAATGCATGGGGGAAGGGGACAGAAATCCCCTCGTTTTGATGATATATCACATATCATCTACTACTGCAGATTGATGCTGAAATATCTCATCCTATGGGTTTGTCCAAAGGGGACAGCCATAGAATGACAACTTCATTAGGGGGAAGAATGTCAGGAAAAACACATGGATTTAGGGGTACCCTCTGGTAATCAACCATGGCTTGCTGGAAAATCCAACATCTGATCTTCCCATGAACAAAAACCTCCATTTACAGTGGATGTACCAAGATTTTCCCATAGTGTTCAATGAATTTCCTATGATTTGTCACATTAAAACATCTATCAGACCTCCATTTGGTTCGGGGATGCCCATTCGGTTGTTCATCAAAAGCACGCAAAATCAAGCCCAGATAACACACCTTAGGACAAAGGGACCCTAAAAGCACCCTGAGATCAACTATCTAAATCTATCTAAAAGGCGGTGTAGAAAAATCACCACAGGTGACTCTGTGATCCAAAATCCCATCCAGTCAGGGATAGCCAGGGTGCCATAACTGGTCCCAAAGGAAGATGACTTGAAAAAGTTGGCGATTCTGGGGTGGTGCATCGAATGGCTGCAGGCTGAGACAGTACCGGGCTACAAAAGGGCCACATGTTCAAACACTGTAAGTGGGGTGCGTTGGTTTGGCACATTCTAATGCAACATATCTTGGAATCCGGAGGAATCAGGAAAGGGGTGGAAGGTTTCAGTGGCTTTGAGGCTTTTCTGTGGCAAGCTGTTGATACATCTGATACATCTCGAAAAAAATTGGCTCTGCGGACATCCCTCAGTCCCGCCATGTTGGATTGCGACCATCCAAGCTCCAAACAGTTCTCAATATGATTGTTTATATTAAAATCTATAGAAAAGGGAACAAACTAGATATCATAATATATCAATATCTTCCACATGTTCTGTATGCGTACTACAACCACATACATGATACACACATGATACACACATGATACATACATGATACATACATGATACATACATGAGACATACATGAGACATACATTAGACATACATTAGACATACATTAGACATACATTAGACATACATTAGACATATACAATATACATACATTCTACATACATTCTACATATACATTAATCATACACTTCACATGTTACTACGCATTCAGGCGCAGAGAGTCCATCCATCCAGGCGTGGTTGCTGGTAGCTGATGACTTCATGGACAGCTCGGAGACCCGAAGAGGGCAAGTGTGCTGGTACAAGAAGGAGCTATTCGGATATGGGCTGTGGGGATCTGTATAACAAACAATCAACAGATATCAACAGTGGATGTTGACTGAGGTGATCCCTGAATATTTTCTGATGCTTTTTTTGATGGATATTTTTTTTTGACCATGTAACATGCCCCTTGTTAAGGGAAACTCACAAGACATGGAGAAAAACAAGAAACTCAGGACGGACCATGATTTCTTGATGGTCTACGGGGGGTTCCTGTGATTGTCTACGGTGACGGATTCTGATGTCCATTTCCTTCCGGTTCGAGAAAGGATGGGGTAAATGGATGTAAATGGTACCAAGCAGAAGACCAGGTCAATAGGTACCCTCTGGTAATTTGACATAGCTATGGAAAATCACCATTTTTAATGGGAAAATCCACTATTTCTATGGTCATTTTCAATAGCTATTTTGACATAACCAGAGGGTAAAGGTCAGCAAATTTGAATCTCCACGGGTTGTTCACCATCCTGTACCTGCCCAATTCACCATTCTGGGTGACGGTGGTATCTGTCACCAGCTACGACATCATTGGTGGCCACAAGTTATTGTGAAGTGACTGCAGCTTGGGGATGCATGGGAGTTGAGAGATGTTTTGGTGAATATGTTACGAATATGTTAAGATCGTTCTGGTTCCCATTTTTTTGGCTTAGCGCCTGGCAAACGAATTTTGCATAACCGAGACTTGCGGAACAGGTCATTTTCAATAGAAGCACCCAAGCAAGTGTGATTTTCTTAACTGAACAAATCTGTCTAGCAGCTGATCATTATATATATATACATATATATATGTGTTTGGATTTGGACTCAGTTATTTGTTCCTACCGTTGCCGGCACCGACTCATCATAATTCAGATAATTCATCGCAGCTTTTAGCGTTTTAGGAGGGAGTCGATGAGATTGCCATCAATGACGCATTTTTGATAGAGATGCTGGTCTACCGCGTCTTGAAGCGTCACTTTTGGATGGAGCCATACTACATGGACGCTTGGTCCAAGTCAGGGGCCGGTTGAGAGGTCGGAGTTAGCTTTTACTCACTTGCAGCTGGGAACCCAACTTGAGTTGCATCATGTTTTATCAAAATGAGCAAACATGAACATAATTGAACCACTTCTAGGGGACCTCCCTCAGACCCCGAGAGTTTGGAGGACTGCCATCACCCATCACCGTTTTTTTTTTTTTGGTTTTTCAATGGAATCTCTTCCAAGGACTTGGTGGATCTTTTCATGGAGACCACCTTCCAAACTGAATGCGGTCAATTGCTGGACCTTCAGCAGCGAGGCTGCAGTCGAAGGCTTTTTGTTGAAGCTTTCTAGTGAAATAGCCAACAGTAGGGATATCATTAGGATACAATGGGATATCGGGATAATCATTTGGGATATTTCATGGGATATTCTGGCTGGTTGATTTTTTGAGAGCAGGAAGACATGCTGCTAGAAGCAACAAAAGTGGAAGGGAAATACACAAGGGGCGTTGGGATGACCTGTTTAGCAAGTTGCTCAACGAAAGTTTTGAGCTCACTTGGTGTCCGGTATGTAAACATGGGTACTGAATGGCACATATATTATGTAAAATGTATATACTTGAATATGATATGATATGTATATCCGCTCCATTCTTATAATGGTGGTGCACAATTGGTGCCACGGGTTTTTTCGATTGCTGGTTTCATGTCTTTATTTCTTTCCAATAAGCTGGGATGGTGTGTGGTTTTCAAGGTCCAAAGAATTCTCGACTTTCCGGCGATGGGAAGACCCATCCGCCAAGGTGCAAAAATGTCACGTTACAGGACTTCACATACAGCAGATGGGAGCTCATCGTGAAGTACAAGACTGCCTTCTACTCTTTCTACCTGCCCGTTGCTTTGGGCATGCAGGCCTGGGTTGTGTCGTGCCAATTTGACAAACATGTTTTCCTTCCCATTGGTAGTTTGAGAAAGATGTAGCAATGCACATTCATAGATGGAAACTTTCAACACTACTCAGCGTGATAGTTGTCAGTATGACACTTGTCAATATCAGTATGAACATCAAAGAGCGCTGAATACGCGAACACCGTTTCATTTCCGTCAAGTTTCTCACCGTCTCACACTTCTCTTGCTGGCTAGCTGGGCTTTCAAATAAGTAGATCCTACAAAATTTGTCATACCTGGTTCTTGCTTGATTTGATGATCATTGTCTATTTAAGCAGCTTGAAATCAAAATAGGGGACCCATCTGTGGTCGGCTTTTCTACTGCCTACATTTCTATGTTTCTGACCCATTTCTGAACAAACACTGCCATGGTAAATCAACAAATAAATTGTTTGTAATCCTTTCTCATTCTCCTAAGATTGAATACTTCCTAGATACCCTTTGGTAATGGAACATAGCCATGAGAAATCACACTGTTCAATAGGGAAAACATATGATAAATGGGCCATTTTCCATAGCAAACCGTGACATTACCACAGAGTACCCAGTTTAATTCGTTTACACCTTGCCCCTGAGTATTAGACCTTGTGGGCCCCACCGCCCCCCCGTGGATGCCCAACCATTCTTGGCCACTGGGAATCCCTAAGGTTCACTGGGTCATTTCATGATATTCCATCGTTCATTGATTTTCAGCACCCAGCGAACAACTTCACAGTTGGATCCCCAGTTTTCATGGATTTCCTACCAGCCCAACTTCCATCCCAGGTGGCAGGGATCCGGGAGCAGGACGCCTATGATGCGGTCCGGGAACCCTTGCTGTTGATGGGCGTCTACTTTCAGGCCCAGGACGACTACCTGGACGCCTTTGCGCCGCCCGAAACCTTGGGGAAGATCGGCACGGACATCCAGGAAAAACACATGCCTGGCGGATGGGCGACCAAACTTGGGGATGGTGTTTGGTGTATGACCATTGGGTTTATGAATGTTTATGACACAGTGCATGGGATCAAGAACCCAAAAATAGAAGTGGCTGGTGACTTTTAGATACTGTACCTTTGAAAATTTGTTAACTAATGTTAAATATTTCAAGCATCCACTCTCTGAGTATACGGTAGGTATATCATTTAATTTTTGCGTTTGACATCATTTGGCTTTGCCTCGGGGAAGGACCTCGAATTTCTCGGATGTCTGGCAAGGTGTACGCCAGGTACCGAATGAATATCTGGAGATGTTCGTTCAAATTAGAGAGGGTAATCGTTGGTTCTGAGCCCCAACAAAATGAATGTATAATGAATGTTTATTCTCCCTTATGTCTGATTCATGTGTTGATTTGAAGAACACCTGCCGTTAATCTTGTGCCAGGGGCTATATCATCGTGTGAATTTAGTTTATGGAACGTGCATGTAAATTGATGAAATGGGATGAAACAATTCACGTGGGATGTCTTCGAGGTTTGCTGATTGCAGCAGTTTCTAGGTTGACTTGGGACTTTTTGCCACAGGACAAAAAGTGCGGATGGCTCTTTGTGCAGGCCTACCATCAGCTTTGCTCTCCAGAGCAGAAGGCATACCTGGACGAGCACTATGGAAAGTGTAAAGTTCAGACCCCTGAAGAGCAAAAGATCAAAGATATCTACAAGGAGGTTGGCTTGGAACGGAAGTACACAGACTACGAGACCAAGTCCTTCCAGGATATCCTTGCCTTCAAGAATCAAGTGCAAGAAGCTAATGTGCCGTGGGAAATTATTGAGATATTCTTGAAAAAGGTGTACAAACGCACCAAATAAGACCGCTCTTCTGCGGTTTCCCCGCATTGGGCCCTGCCCAGTGCAGTTCTTTTGCGTGTAGGTGAAGCCTGCAAAGACAGCCTGTGGAACCAGTTGCCGACCATCCATTCATCACGTCTAAGAAATGCTGCTGTTTCCGGTAAAGTAGGTACTTTAAGGTGGATCTTTTTCGCACTATGTCACTATGATAGGATGATATAGTAATATAGTGATGTTGCTTATCTTCAATTTTTGCCTGAGAGGTGGGGATGATCTCTAAGTTATTCTTATTCAATCTTATTCATATCTTTCAATCATGTAGGGTTGTTTGATAGTGGAGATACACATGGATACGCCATTTTTAGACACACAAAAAAATTGAAGCCAACAACTCCATCGCCAGACACCGCGACCACCACATTGACGGCTACCAGTGCTGAGAGTGATGAGGGTCCGGGGCACTGCTCGGGCATGTCACTGGTGTGGATGACTTTGATTGGTCCAGCTCGATTTTGTGTCCGAAAATAGGCTCAAAAAAAAAAAGTATTTTTTTCGCCACCTGCCAGGTGAGGGCCTCTAGATTTTCACAAAGGTGCAACTCCTTCCTCCTCCTCCTCGTCCTCCTCCTCCTCCTCTGGCAGCTCCGGATGCAGTGGGTGACGCCTGGACCCGAACTCCAGAACGCCAGCTCCGAACACATGCCAAAGAGAATGCCAGAAACAATGTCAGAAAGAATATCAGATAGAATGCCAGATAGATGTCAGAAAATATGACAGATGCCAGATAGAATGCCAGAATAGATGCCAGATAGAATGCCAGCAAGAAGGTCAGATAGAATATCAGAGTATATATATGCCAGACAGAATGGCAGAACCTGTATGCCATATATAGATATATATAGTATGTCAGAAACTTGGTCAAAAGAATTTGCCAGGGTGGGGATTACTCTAAGTAAAGTGTTCTTTTCAATGGGGAATCCCCCAAAAATCAATAAAAATCATGGCTTTCAATACTCAAATGGTCCAATGACTTGAAAATCATCAGGGGCTCCATTTTAGGACGCCTCCACGTGGGCCGAAAAACTCGCTCTGCCATCATTTTCCCTATCCAATTGCCATAGCCAGCCCCTTGAGAAGATGGGAACCGGAGTTCTCCAAACATCCACCGAACGATCACCTGGACATCAAAAATGGTGGGTCAAAATGGAAGACCAACATGGGACCACAGATGTGAATGTCTAGTTACTCTAGTTTAGTATTAACCATCCAATTATTGGGGTACCTAATTTTGACCCATACCCAAATGATGATGGATTCTGAAATTTGTGAAAGCATAGTGTTCCTGTTCAGGGTGTATGAAAGCAAAGATGTGACGAAAGCAAATTTCCGACTTATCCAAACCCTGACTGTCGCACATGCCAATGCAACACCTGGATGTTCGATTGTTCATGTGGCTTCAAGCTTGGCGATATGATGCTCCAAATTTGGGATGGATCAAAACCTATTGTATCATATTTGGGGCCGATGAACATCCATTTGTACACCTGCTATTGTGAGGTTCATGAGTGTTTTGACCCATACTGTGTGTGTGTGAATCATCCAGTTGATGGGTGGTTTGAAACCTGAGGAAGCACTCAAAATCTGCTGCTCAGGCGATGATAGCAGTTCTGTGAACGAAGGCGCTGGTTGTTTCGTAAGTACTTGTGCTGTACGGGACAGCAGTGAAGCACCGAGACAATCTCAACTTCACTCACAACTGACCCAAAACACATAGTTGCTTCAGTTCATTATAGATACTGTGCATGATCGGAGGGGGGTCCATTTTGTGATGTTCTCTTTTCAGATATGATTAGATTATATATGAAAATATGATTTCATATCATATCACGTCCTATTATTCTCTACTATATGTTCATAAATGGTTTACATTATTTTAGTCTATTATACAACATTATACTGTATAGTATTATGATGTACTGTATGATATCACATTCCATTATGAAAGTATAGGATAGTATGTAATATAGCATAGTATAGTATATCAGATTAGATTACATTGATGTTTAATCACAATATGTTTTAATATTATAACTATGTTATCACATTTTTTCTACCTATATCATACTTTACTTTTTTTAAGTTAATGTAATTGCGTTGCAGTATATGTCATATCAAAAAGGATGATGTTATATTACATTATCATATATATTCTACATTTTTCTCTACAACATACTGTCCTGTAGTTGTAATTTTCTACATTTTTCTCTACAACATACATTTTTCTCTACATTATAGCGCCGGACAACTACTTAGAACATCGTTTTGGAAATTTTTCGGTGGGTACGCGCCCTCTACTTAGAACATTTTCGGCGAATAGGGGACGTATGTTCTAAGTGACTTAGAACATATGAGGATCCTCTACTTAGAACACGCCATCATATATACATGTAAATATATGTATATGTATACATACATACAACTTAACACTGCATATTTATATTATATATACAGGAGGTGTGATGTTGCGTCAATTGGGGCGGAGTCTTGTTGACCAAGAAGCACAACGCTGGAAAGGAGGTCATCCTCCATGGGGACTCTGGTGGGTGTTTGATTAATTGGGATGGGATTCATATTATACAGGTTTGGAAAGTTTTTATTATATGAATATATAGTGCCGGACAACTACAATATTCAAAATATATTATATATACACAGGATTTTCCAAAATGCACGTAGATAGCTGGTGGGATTCTTACTTAGAACATGGAGGAACCCCCAAAACCTCTGTGTATATATATATATAGCGATGTACATACGATTCGAACATCAGGTTTGGAAAGTTTTTATTATATGAATATATAGTGCCGGACAACTACAATATTCAAAATATATTATATATACACAGGATTTTCCAAAATGCACGTAGATAGCTGGTGGGATTCTTACTTAGAACATGGAGGAACCCCCAAAACCTCTGTGTATATATATATATAGCGATGTACATACGATTCGAACATCAGGTTTGGAAAGTTTTTATTATATGAATATATAGTGCCGGACAACTACAATATTCAAAATATATTATATATACACAGGATTTTCCAAAATGCACGTAGATAGCTGGTGGGATTCTTACTTAGAACATGGAGGAACCCCCAAAACCTCTGTGTATATATATATAGCGATGTACATACGATTCGAACATCAGGTTTGGAAAGTTTTTATTATATGAATATATAGTGCCGGACAACTACAATATTCAAAATATATTATATATACACAGGATTTTCCAAAATGCACGTAGATAGCTGGTGGGATTCTTACTTAGAACATGGAGGAACCCCCAAAACCTCTGTGTATATATATATAGCGATGTACATACGATTCGAACATCAGGTTTGGAAAGTTTTTATTATATGAATATATAGTGCCGGACAACTACAATATTCAAAATATATTATATATACACAGGATTTTCCAAAATGCACGTAGATAGCTGGTGGGATTCTTACTTAGAACATGGAGGAACCCCCAAAACCTCTGTGTATATATATATAGCGATGTACATACGATTCGAACATCAGGTTTGGAAAGTTTTTATTATATGAATATATAGTGCCGGACAACTACAATATTCAAAATATATTATATATACACAGGATTTTCCAAAATGCACGTAGATAGCTGGTGGGATTCTTACTTAGAACATGGAGGAACCCCCAAAACCTCTGTGTATATATATATAGCGATGTACATACGATTCGAACATCAGGTTTGGAAAGTTTTTATTATATGAATATATAGTGCCGGACAACTACAATATTCAAAATATATTATATATACACAGGATTTTCCAAAATGCACGTAGATAGCTGGTGGGATTCTTACTTAGAACATGGAGGAACCCCCAAAACCTCTGTGTATATATATAGCGATGTACATACGATTCGAACATCAGGTTTGGAAAGTTTTTATTATATGAATATATAGTGCCGGACAACTACAATATTCAAAATATATTATATATACACAGGATTTTCCAAAATGCACGTAGATAGCTGGTGGGATTCTTACTTAGAACATGGAGGAACCCCCAAAACCTCTGTGTATATATATATATAGCGATGTACATACGATTCGAACATCAGGTTTGGAAAGTTTTTATTATATGAATATATAGTGCCGGACAACTACAATATTCAAAATATATTATATATACACAGGATTTTCCAAAATGCACGTAGATAGCTGGTGGGATTCTTACTTAGAACATGGAGGAACCCCCAAAACCTCTGTGTATATATATATATAGCGATGTACATACGATTCGAACATCAGGTTTGGAAAGTTTTTATTATATGAATATATAGTGCCGGACAACTACAATATTCAAAATATATTATATATACACAGGATTTTCCAAAATGCACGTAGATAGCTGGTGGGATTCTTACTTAGAACATGGAGGAACCCCCAAAACCTCTGTGTATATATATATAGCGATGTACATACGATTCGAACATCAGGTTTGGAAAGTTTTTATTATATGAATATATAGTGCCGGACAACTACAATATTCAAAATATATTATATATATATACACAGGATTTCTCCAAAATGCACGTAGATAGCTGGTGGGATTCTTACTTAGAACATGGAGGAAACCCAAAACCTCTGTATATATATATAGCGATGTACATACGATTCGAACATCAGGTTTGGAAAGTTTTTATTATATGAATATATAGTGCCGGACAACTACAATATTCAAAATATATTATATATACACAGGATTTTCCAAAATGCACGTAGATAGCTGGTGGGATTCTTACTTAGAACACGGAGGAACCCCCAAAACCTCTATATAGCGATGTACATACGATTCGAACATCAGGTTTGGAAAGTTTTTATTATATGAATATATAGTGCCGGACAACTACAATATTCAAAATATATTATATATACACAGGATTTTCCAAAATGCACGTAGATAGCTGGTGGGATTCTTACTTAGAACATGGAGGAACCCCCAAAACCTCTGTGTATATATATATATAGCGATGTACATACGATTCGAACATCAGGTTTGGAAAGTTTTTATTATATGAATATATAGTGCCGGACAACTACAATATTCAAAA